GCTTGGATCAAGTCAGATTACGATATCATCCATCAACGTGTCTTCTCTTTGGCCGTCAGTTGTAAAACTTACTTCCCTGCTCACCCAAGTATGTCTAATATTACGCTTCCGCTGGAAGATCGGACACTGATTATACACAAAATCATCCCCTGTTACGTCACGCAACAGCGGCCTGCTTAAAAGGCTTTATTGGACACAGTTTGTAGGGGTTTCATGTTCCATTGCTCTCAAATCCCGCTCTATTAACTTATGATTAGAGAAAGACCTTCTTCGCTTTTCTGTAATTTCTGAGGACAGTACTTGAGCATCTCTCTGACAAAATAAGCCATTTAGTATTTTGACATAGAATGCATCGTACTGTCGATTTTACACTTTCGGCTGAACCATCCGGCCCGCCAAGATCAGTGACGCTGAATACTGGTTTGCTAATAAAGCTGAGGGCAACAAACCGATTGCAGCCCAAAACGCGACGATGCGAAGGATGTGCAAGGTTTCCTCCATGGTCATGCTCCAACAACACAAATTTTACAACTGACTGAGTTAACAAACGTGATTTCGCCTTTTTCGACGACAAGAGAAGATGATCCGATCACGTGGCTAAACTGAGAGGCAACCGGCAGAAGTCAAGAACTACCAACTAAGTTCTGCTGCACAACAGATGTCCAGTCGGTCGTCCAGGAACACGTGGATGGCAAATTAATTGAGGCGCGGAGGAGGCAGAAAGCAGAGAACAAGGAATACCAGAGGAGTATCTGCTTGGGGCTCATGGTGCCCTCACATTGAGGACAAATCGCATAACGAATAATATAACGTGTAATCATGTCAAAGGATTTCTGAACATCAGAGCTGTAGAGAAGGACAGTAATCGATTCGATATCAAAAGCACAACTAGATGTAGCGTGTCATCCAGCATCAGTGCTAATTGAATGAAGTTCTTGCGCTTTGTTGAATTTACTCAAAATGTGAAGACCTGTAGTGGCAAGGAAATGCAATTACTGAAGTTGATGTTCAACCTCGTCTTTAGCATTTTTTTTTGTGCCTTAACGAAATCATAGGACCTGGAGGTACGTTAAATCAGCTTCGTTCCACCTCTGCAAAAGCGAATTTTTGGCAGCGAAATCATGTTTAGATTTATCATGTTTGTGTCATCCTCGTCGGCACCACCATCATCAGACGTGCTTAGATTTCATCTAACCCTTATTACGAATTATTACTAATTTCACTCGCCATAATTCTGTCTTTGCCGGGTCCAACCCCGGACGAGAAGGAATCAGAGTTGAGGATTAGAGCGAGGGCTCCCGTAAAACTTGGCCATTTGCTGTTTATGAAATTGCTATTACCTAACGCTGTGTTAATCGGTCGTCATTCGGGTTACCGTGGTCCGCGCTGGATACTTAGGAACTAAGGCAAACCGTGAAAATTCGGCGATCAGATCCAACTTCATGCTTTCTGACAGCTGAGTGCGTATCAGCGCGACGGTAGCTGCGAAAGATCGGCAAGAAGGCGACGTACTAATCAGCAGCGAAGGCGCTACCTCTTCTCAATGGATAAGTAAGTCAGTGCAGTGCCTTTACGCCGAGTCACATGAGGTTCTGTCGGAACGGTATCGCCAGTGACTGGTTACAGTACAAAATTGCAACATCTCATCAATCAGACTGAAAGGCCAGGAGCTTGCTGATGAGATCGTATCGTCTCTTGTGAACTAAGCTCCAGGGTTCCGGAATTCCAAGCCTCTGCGGACAGACTCTATCCCTCTGTCCCACCCAGGTGTCGGATTCAAGACATGCACTCAGGCCGGTACTTGTGTTCTGGTAGAACTCAATCAGGCTTACAGTATCATTGAATGAAAGTCTGTCAGCGGAAAAGTGTCAATCATCCGACTGAATTTACAACGGGCTAAAGCCCTGATCATACAAAGCCCAGTTCAATGAGAGATTGTGAATCCTCCTTGGTGAAGGTACAAGTTAACCTGAAGAAATTCACGTACTTCAGAGTATTGCTTACAGGTAATGAAAAATGGGAAGAAGAGAGCGACGTGCTTCCGAATTGGAATGGCCAGCGGCGGTCTGCGTGAACTGATCCGAACTTTAGTGGCTAAAGCACGGCCGAGTCTGAAAGCTAAGCTTTCTGCGTATTAGGTCGATCTTTATCCAGGGCATGCTAGTCTAAGGTCATCAGTCGTACTGCAAGACTGAAAAAATTTGACTGCGGATTTTCGGGCACAAGGGGCTGAAATAGAATCTAAAACGAATCGTTGAGCTCACGAGTCTCGAGACGATCCAGAGTACAGATATCCAAGAAATCCTTTGTATACATCCGCTGATACTCCAAATTAGGAAGTCATAGATGCAGTGATTTTGGAACCTCTGGTGAATGCATCCAGAAAGGAAGGCAAAGCAGCTACTGTTGAGTCAACCGGTCGAAGACCCTGGGAAGTTCCAAGAATGGCCTTGGACAAATGTCTCGACATCTTCCACCACAGACTCGGGTTATTTTCTGCGGATGCTCAAAGGCTAGCACAAGATTGAGAACTTTAAAAGTACTGCTTGAAGTTTTTGTCTCCGCGACCATAAACGATATAGAGTCGTCGAAACTGACCGACTCTACGTATCATTCTTTGCCATACTCTGCAGTAAGAACAGTGTACTTTCCGACAAGCTTATCTTTAAAGGCAGATGCCATTGAACAACTCTCGATTACTGAATGTTTCAGAATTAATCAGAGGATCCGACGACTACCGTACCGCGCTCGCTGCCAAACGAGTACCGGTATCGAAAGATACTCCGGTATGGTATTACGACCGGATGTACGAGATGAACCATTTCAACAGGGAAACTTGGAACAGGCTTTGGCATGGGTCCTGAAGTGAACCGGCGATTGGTCGAACATCAGCGAATTTTGGAGAGCTGTATAATAGAAGGATAGAACTATAAGAACGGACACGAAGATCACCTTTCTAAAACAACCGTATTCGCGGTGCTAAAGTACAGTGTCGAAGCATTTGTGGTCATTTAACGTCACGACGGTTATCCTATACCTTTCAACAAGATAATAACATCTTAATATCTTATTATGATGTTAATAAGGAAACATCTTAACACTTTACCGGAGTTTGAGGTACTCCGGTTCAATACCTTCTACCTCGAATGAGAGGGTGCTGACTACTGCTCGAAAACTGTGAGATAACTCTCACAAAGACTCAGAGACCGGCGTCTGACCTTGTCTGACAAAACGACCCACAATTAAAATGAAAACGGTTTCAAAACCCTTCATATGTGCTGGCCACAGACGGGTTGCGACAAAGTCTGGAAGCGCCTCACCGAGGGGCCTGATTGCGATATGGAATATGACTTTTGTCACAACAATAAACGTCGCTCATACCTATCTGAAAATGCATTTTAACAGTCAGATATCATAGGTCTAGGTTACTCTACTGTTTAAGCTCGATTAGACACAGATGACGATAACGAAACAACATCAACCTAGCAATTTAGGGGCATTCACTGAACCGATCATGTGATCCGGTACTTTGATCAGTGCCCCCCCCTATCCGAGGCAATGAATTTGAGCCTGGATTATGGAAAGCCATAATCGCAACGTTACGTAACACATAAAGGCAAAAATAGCAACGTATCAGCACGGGCTTTCTCAGTTTTCACTAGGAGTCACCCAAAATCAGCTGACATGAAGGAAGATATACTGTTAAAATTAGAATTCGAGGACACCGTGTATACTTCCTCTTCCCTTTCCTAACAAACCACCGCGACTGGTCCTTTCCATATGCTGTTCCAAACACCTGAATTTGAAGGAGTGTGACATTTGCCTTGCTTCACATCCAAAGTCGGAACTTGAAACAGCCGTCTTCTTGAAATCTGGTGGTTTGAAGATTCAAATGTCCAGAAGATGTTCAAGAGTCGAAGAGTACTGTAATAACTAATTTTTGTTTACCTGCTGATCGAACGGCACGCGTTCATTTTGACCATGTCGATGCACGGCGAGAAGTAGTCCATGGATAGGGGTGACAGCCGGATTACGTCGAAGGTCAGTGATCAGCTGACTAATGGCTAGCAGGAAGTAAGTGCTGGCGCTTTCTCGATGTCGCCGGAGCGTCGACGGCGGGCGGGCGGGCGTCACACGGTGTCACCGAAAACAAGAAGTGCTCGCAGCTGCAAGTTAGAGTGTCCGTGTCACTCATGGCTAGTCGGAGTCCAGTTTTCGTGACAAGGCCGGACGTGTCCAAGTTGAACCTGTCACCGGAGCTCTTGTCGAGCCGCCGGATTGATCGTGGTGGTGCTTGACAATTAAAATTTTAATATTTAATTCACGGCTCTTTAACGTACAAAAATCGCACGGTCTCCTAACAGTGGCGTTTGATTGATTCCTTTAAGGTCACTGCTTAAAGTCTGTTCCGTGGATGCGAGGTACACTCCTGAGTAAGCATAAATTATCAAAGACGATTAGCCTCACGCTCATCCAATGACGTTTACATTTTTTTCATTACTGTACAGTGGCTATTGGTCGTTCAATTGGCATTTGGTTTAAAGCATTCATTTTAAAAATTATTCAATGTTAATAAAAATTTCTAAATTCTCGTTTCATGGGCACTTTGGCCGTTAACTCATGGATTATTCATAGTCGACTACTGTAGATCAGTCACGAACGTGAAGTGATTCATGGATGCGTTTCGTCTACAGATTCATAATGGGAAAATCCCATCGTTTCTTGTCCGCCTAATGACCGCAGCTACTGCTTTAGGAGAGAGATGCGAAGTACCCCAGGATTCGGGTGTGCAAACCTTAACTCTAAATCTCCATTAGAACCGTAGATTTCTTTGGATATATTCTCTCCATATTTCTTACTTCTACTATGCGTGTGAGTGTCCTTTGCTACAGAATGATTTCCAGCCAACTTTTAAAATGCAGCAGATTCTTTCGAGGCGAATAATTAAATTTCACGATTATCATAGCGATCGAAGACCATTCTCCTCATGATGTTATGCAACGCCTTCCAATGGTCGTTGTCTGCTGCACTCCATCACTGTGATGATGAGGACAAAGCGGTCTTATAGATACACATAATGAACAAATCAGTCATAAAGCCTAGTTATTGAACAAAGAATGGACCTATGGCCTAGGTGGACGGAAGAGTCTCGCGAAATTTAATAGACAATGAAAGAAAATTTTCAGGAAATATCGCTCTTCACAATAAATGGTTATGACCAGTGAAAAATCGGTGCATAATTTTTGTATGGCCAATTTTTCAATTGTGAACAATTTGCGGAACCATTGTCACTTATTTTCAGTACATCCTCAGGTAAAACTTATACCTCTATAATGACAAATTCATGGTTACGTTGCACATCGTCTAGACATCATTATTTATGGGACATGGACGGAAACGGACGCTCTATCAAGATTCATTGTTTTCAACTTTGTGCTTCCACCGTTTTCCAGTAAATTAAACCATCGGATCGTCCGAGGGTGTCATTAAACAACCGAGGGGAAGCTTGTGATCCGGGGTTGCCAGATTTAATGTTCCTAATCCCACCGAACGATCTTCACTCGGCGTCATAGAAAGCAGCAATCACGTCTACTGATTCAGTGAGGTGTCAAAATTGTGTGCTCATAAGTGATCTTGGAAGAAAACCTTGGACATTTTTTGCTCCATCGCTCTTTACACCACCATCAGTTTGTTCCCCTGGCTTCAGTAGCAAACAAGCATTCAGCGTAGTAGATCATGGCTGGTTGCACGGTTGAACCCAACAGCTCTTCTTCGCCCGCATCGGCAGCTCACTGACGAGTAACTATGGTTAACACAATTAAACATGGCCCTTGCAGCTTCCTTTTTCTGGCTGATTTGCCCCTTATGAATTCATGCAGTTTTCCTGACGGCAGGGACATACATAATCGATGTCTTTGAGTTCAACGTCATTCTCACAGAGGAGGTCCTTGTGACAGTGCTTGTTCCGCGGCTATTTCTTACTCTGGAAGCTAACTTCCCATTTGGCAGTAAATGATTGCTCTTGTAACTACTGGACCCCCTTTCGGAGCTTCATCGTGTCTTGTGCGAAAGTGATCCAGTCGTCCACAAATAATAAGCGACCTAGGCACTATACGCGAGATAAACACCAGTTAAGTGAATCAAGGGCCACGGCGAAGAGCTCCTGTGAGATGATACCTCCTCTCTTATATCGAGACGAAATGTGCTGTGCAAAAAGTTTTTTCTATGGACCGATGCAGAGGACATATACTCCACAAGTTAGGAGTCCATATCTCTTCTCAGGATGATGAAACTCCCCCCCCCCTTCCGCCTAAACTACATCGGATACCAGTCACATAAAATCTAACAAACATTTAAATTCACGCTGCCATCTGTCTGAACGGATAATGACGTTGTACTTCATTTTTCCATTATAAAGTTATAAGCGTTTTACTTACTATGAAATGCCATGACTGTGAAGATTATCAATTACAGTATGATTGAACCGATTGAGGAGCTTTAAATATCTGTTTGGAACCCTTTTTACGTTGCTAGTTTACATTCTGTAATTAGCGAAAACTTGTCATTAGAAAAAAACTATTTATAGCAACAACAAAAATTCATAACCGAATGCAAATAAATAATGAAATCAGCCACATAAGTCAATGTGCTCTATGTCGCTATAGAAAAACGCCTTTCCGCACGTCGGACACTGCCATTCCCTGTTTCTGTAGCGAAGGCTCAGGCAAGAAGCACAAAACGTGTGCAAGCATGTGAGTAGTATCGCATCCTTGATGTTTCTTTCACACAAAGGACACACCAGTAGCCTTCTGAGCAAGCGCACTTCCTGGGCCTGCTGCTGATAATTCATATTCGCTTTCATCAAATCATTCACAGTCTTGCTAAGAAGTGAACACTCGCCTTCCATCTGACATTTGTTCGAGCGCTGTTCATCCAACGCAATGGTCTTCGCCACAATCTCCTTGTCAAGGTCAGAAAGTTCAGCAGTACGAGCTTCCAGATCAACCTTCAGATTAGCTATGGTCTCACGATACTCTGAAGCCATCGCTTCCGTCTGTTCTAAAGCCGTGGAAACAAAATGTGACTCTTTTATCAAGTCTGAATGACATCTCTCTCGCAAGTACACAGTTTCCCTCAAGGTATTGGCTAACTCAACCATCGTCTGGTTTCGATTCTTCGCAGCTTCCAACGCTTCTGTTATAAAGGTAGCTTGTTGATTCAAGTGCTCCAGCTGTCGCTCGTTTTCAGTTCGCTATAATAAAACAACTCATTAAAAAACAGTACTGCGAATCAATCAGAAAAAAACTGTATGTATCGAAGCCTGGAAGAATTTAAGCAATGAATGACGGCTTAAAGAAAACATTTACTAGAGGAAATTACACATGAAATTGTAACCTTAACAACGGAAGTTGAGTCTTTTGCAGGAGTTGAATTCAAAACTAAAATGTTCCTTTATGGGATTACACTATTTCACATTATACAATTTTTCTTTTTTGCATGCTGTCACTCCTTGAAGACAGATCAGACATGAGCCAAAACGACAGTCAATACTTCATCTTCATCTTACATCGCCGCTTCTCCTTTCGGATCGCGGAGGCAGACGCGTCAGACAGTGCTTCCAACGTTCCCGATCCTG